AAGGGTCGACTTCAAGCTTTTGACCCAGAACTTCACCAAAACGGAGGCCGACTTGTTCGTGGGACGAGAAGTGATGATCATAGGAGTTGGGGCTGCTTCAAACCAATTCCCCTTCCATGGCAGTGCAAAACCCGATCAGGTAAATGATGAGGAGATTAGGGATTGTGTCCAGGGAGTTCCCCCAGCCTTGAAGGCCAATTCCCCGATCGGGTATTCGTGAAGGAGATCAGTTTTTTCACCCCTAGCTGCTGCCAACAGTTTTATGTTTCCTTTGCGGATAATTTGAATTTTACACCCAAACTCGGGTTTCTTTGTTATTTTTTACCAAAAACTTTGTAGCCTATATAAGGGGATGAACTAAGTCTTTTAGAGGGTAATCAAAAAAATTATTTAGAAATACAAACCCTAGAATTGGTTCTTCAAACTCCAACTTCTCTACTTCTTCTTTCTTTATAGTCCTTCGTATACCTGGACCTCTTCCCGACACGTGGATTTTTTTGTGGTTATTATCATGTTTGTGATCATTGTGCTTCTAATTTATCTTTGTTGCATTTCTGATTGTTTAAGACCATGAGTTAGAGCCTCGACTTATATCAGGTAGCTCCTCTTCCTTGGAGTGATGATGAGGATGAAGTGGTTGAAGGTGAAGTGACGGTTGAACCAGGAGTGGTGACTATGCAAGCTCTGTGTAGTGGCAGCTTGGTAGGATGACTAATTCACTAGTGGTGCAAGGGGCGGGTAAGGACAAATAAATTTTTTATATTGATGGACACGGGTAACAATCACACCTTCCAGAATCAGTTTAAGGTTGAGGAGTTGAAGTGCACTGTGATAGCAACTCCTCCCTTGTGGATCAAGTTAGCTATGGAACAGTGCTGATGTGTAATCCACTTCCAGAGTATTCACTTGGGAAATGCAAGGAGATTCCTCTTCATTCGATGTTAGAATATTAAATCTGGGCATACATGACATGGATGGGCAGTTGCAACTATTCTTTTAGTTCGATGGGCAGGTGGTGGTTTTATATGGAGCACAAGAAGTGGGATCTTGTAAGATCAATTCTGTCCAGGGAATTCAAAGGTTGTTGAAGAAGAAAGTACAAGGTTGGACAGGACACTTATTCAATATTGTTTAGGTTAAGCGACCATGTGGGATTCCTACATTTCTACTTCATTTAGTTCAAGAGTACTCGAATGTTTTTGGTAAACCCACCACTCTACCTCCCTCAAGACCATGTGACCATGCCATAACCTACAACCAAAATCCCAACCTGTTAAATTTCGAACTACATATATCCTTTGCCCAATATAGACATAGTAGAAAAAATGACACAAGAAATGTTAGACTCCAAACTGTATCAAAAAAGTAAAAGCCCATTGGCTTCACATGTCTTGTTAGTAGCTAACAAAGATGGAACCTCAAGATTTTATGTAGACTATAGATAATTTAACTCCATCACTGTTAAAGATAAGTTTCTCATTCATGTCATAGAAGATTTGTTGGATGAGTTAAAGGGATCCAATTACTTCACCAAGTTGAATCTACTATCTGGATACCAACAGATCAGGATGTGTCCTATGGACCAACACAAAACAACACTTAGAACTCATCATGGTCATTTCAAGTTTTTCGTTTTGCCATTTGGATTGACCAATGCTCATGCTACCTTTCAAGCCCTCTTGAACACCATATTTTCAGCCTACCTCGGAAATGACCAAGTTAGCTAATGGAACAATGCTGATGTGTAATCCACTTCCAGAGTATTCTCTTGGGAAATGCAAGGAGATTCCTCTTCATTCGATGTTAGAATATTAAATCTGGTCATATATGACATGGATAGGCAGTTGCAACTATTCTTTCAGTTCGATGGGCAGGTGGTGGTTTTATATGGAGCACAAGAAGTGGGATCTTGTAAGATCATTTCTGTCCATGGAATTCAAAGGTTGTTGAAGAAGAAATACAAGGTTGGGCAGGACACCTATTCAATATTGTTTAGGTTAAGCGACCATGTGGGATTCCTGCATATCTACTTCATTTAGTTCAAGAGTACTCGAATGTGTTTGGTAAACCCACAACTCTACCTCCCTCTAGACCCTGTGACCATGCCATACCCTACAACCAAACTCCCAACACGTTAATTTTCGAACTACATATATCCTTTGCCCCATATAGATATAGTAGAGAAAATGGCACAAGAAATGTTAGACTCCAAACTGCTTCAAAAAGTAAAAGCCCATTGGCTTCACATGTCTTGTTAGTAGCTAACAAAGGTGGAACCTCAAGATTCTATTTAGACTATAGACAGCTTAACTCCATCACTATTAAAGATAAGTTTCTCATTCATGTCATAGAAGATTTGTTTGATGAGTTAAGGGGATCCAGTTATTTCACCAAGTTAGATCTACTATCTGGATACCATCAGATCAGGATGTGTCCTACGGACCAGCACAAAACAACACTTAGAACTCAACATGGTCATTTCGAGTTTTTCGTTTTGCCATTTGGATTGACCTATGCTCATGCTACCTTTCAAGCCCTCGTGAACACCATATTTTCAGCCTACCTAGGAAATTTTATCCTGGTTTCTTGTGATATTTTAATCGATAGTCCAGATGAAACCATTCACTTAAAATTCTCCAAATCACCCTTTTCATTCTCAGACAATACTCTTTATGCAAAACACTACAAGTGTTCCTTTGGCCAAAAGGGTAGTTGCGCAAGACAATAAGTTTGTCATGCAGCTTCTGATTCAATAGTCGCACCAGCAGGAAGAGGATGCCGCGTGGGAGTTTTTGGATGAATCGAAGAAGAAATTTTCAGATTTCCATACTTGAGGCCAAGTCTGTTCTAAAGGGGTGGAACTTGTAACAATTCAGAGCAGATAGTAAACAAATAGAAAAATAAAGGGCTAATACCACTACAACACCCGAACTATCGCAAAAATTTCAATTGTATCCCGATTTATTCAATATTCCATTTATGTCATGAACAATTTTTCTGTTAAAAGTTGACTCGTTTTGACCGTTAGTTGTTAACAAAAAGTCCAGTCAGCAGGTGACGTGGAATTTTAATTTATTTAATAAAAAAGTTAAAATAAAAAACAATGAAAACAAAAAACGTTTCATCTCCACCATTCACCCTCTCAACCCTTTCTCTCCCGTTCACCCTTCCTCTCTCATAGATCCGGCAGCAACGAGCCTTTTACGGCACCTGCTGCTACTCCGCTCAACAACGACAACACCACCATTAACAGAAACTTCTTGCCTCTTCTCGTCCCTAACCAGCTCCTCCCATGAATAGATTCAAGCAAGTAATGGAGAAAGTGGGAGAGCAATGGATTGGGATGGCGACGATGGCGGAGGCTACCCAGAAACGTAACCTAGCTACTCAGAAATATCAAATCCAACGCCTTTGTGGTTCTATTGGTATGATTGAACGGGAATCGATGTTCAAATATCCTCCCTAGAACCCGTCTATTCTATGCTCTACAAGTTGGGGAAATAAAACAAAAATTCAAAAGCCAAAAGTTGGAAGTTGTAGAAGAACAAAGGTCAGAGGAAACGCATCGAGGAGAAGAAGCGGGCGCGCATCTCCTCGGACAAATCAGCATAAAAAGCACTACTGAGATCACTGATAATCGCGGGGCTGCTGCGCCAGAAGGAGAAATCGGTGCTGCTGAGGTGCAGAGAGGCTGATCGTGGAGCAGTGGAGTCGGTGCAGAGAGGCTGCCCCAAATCACCCTCGACAAGCTCAAGGTAGCACTGCGCCTATTAATTAACCCAAAAGCAATCAGAATCGATCGATGCACTCCTCTCTCTCCGTCACTCCAATATGACCCAGTAACGCAAATCTCAGCCTCGCTACCTTGCAAATCACAAAGGAGAAAGGGGGAGTAGAGGAAGGAGAAAGTGACTCCCTCTCCGATCTTCTTCTTCGTCCAATGAAAACGAGCAGGGGAATCGGCTTGGAGATTTTTTAGAGAAAGAGAGGGCGAATCGATAGGGAAGAAGAATAATGAGAATTTTGGCTTAATAATATAATTGAATTTATATTTTTTTTTATTTTAACTCAATTTTTATTTAATTTGAATTAAAAAAAATATGAGGTCAGTGACATGGCATCTATGTGGTAGCCACATTTTTTGCCACGTCAACAAAAGTCAACTCCGCGTTGACCACCGTTTGGTCAACCGATATCTTTAACGATCAACGAAATTGACATGATACAGATGACACAAAGTATCATAGTTGAGGACATGAATGAAATATTTGATACAATAAGATACAAGTGGTATTTTTTCGATAGTTTGAGTTTTGTACTTTGTAATTAGTTGAATGAAGTAGTGGTTGACAGCTATCAACCTATGAAAGGGTACTTAAGGTATCCTTTGAGTTTGTTATGGGTATCAGAAATACAATAACCAACTTTCCCTCTAACTTTCTCTCTCCTTCACTTTCCCTTTTCTTTATATGCAACTCTTCTTTTTCTCTTCTACTATCCAGTTGAGACCATAACATTAAATATATAAGTTTAGGTTGTACCATAAAGAAATTTGTACAATTATGTTATGGTACAACTTCACAACTTGAAGTTGTACCATCACATAAAGGTATAAATTTAAGTTGTACCATAAAAGAATTTGTACAAAATGTATAGGTACAAATTCAAATTGTACCATAACGTTAAAGGTACAATTTTAAGTTGTACCGTAAAGACAAAAATTTATAGTACCAATACTATATAGTATTGTAAAATTCTCGTTATAATAACCATATTACCGATCAACTAATCACATGTGATATGGGAATTTAGAATATTCCGTTGGAGTTCCATTTTCCATCACTACCAAAAACAATTCATCATTGAGCAGGGAAAAGATATTCAAATTGTTTTCCCTTTGCCTGCTTCACAAATCACAATCACCGGAGACTTGATGATGGATATCAATAATTAAAGACAGCAAACAAACATAATTAAGAAAGAAGAAGGAAAGGAAGCTTCCCCACTTTTCGTCGACATCCATTATCATCACTCTACTTTTCAATTCCTTGCAAAAAGGGACAAACAGATTCCCATTCCGATTCCAGTCCCCCAACTCTTCCCCTCTTTCTTTCCCATCCTCCCTTTCCGCTAACAATATCATAGAGACTAATTAATTCACCCCACCACTACATTGCTGACCCCCAAAAGCAGATTAATCAATCAAATTCAAACCTCCCTACCAACCCAACCTTCCTTCCTTCCTCCCTCTGTGGCAAATCCCAAACATGCACCTGTGTGAAGAGCAAAATATGTACTGAGCAGTAATCAAATTCGCCACCCGGCCGCCGGCCCCAAAAAACACCCCCTCCGCTAATCAAAACGCCAGACCGACCTCCGATTCCCTCCGGCGCCATTATCATCACGTGGCGACGCCTGGTTCGGCCACGTAGTTTCTTCGGTCCACCTCCTCCCACACCAGCTTGGCTGTTACTTCATCATACTCGGGTTCATATTCCTGATAATCATAATTGCATTAACAACGAACATACACTAGTTTAGTAAATTAATTGATCGATCGAGTGGGACACCACTTTCCTTCCTCAAAACTAATTAATGCCATTAAGCAATTATTGTGAAATGGTGTAGGAATTATAGCGACATCATTCAACATCGATCTGTTACCCCATCCATGCTGGGTTTGACCAAAAACCAAGTTCAAGTTGGCCAATATACTAGCCACTTTTTACACTATTTAATTTAATTGGTTTCTTGGAGTTTGAGATGAACCAGCTAAAAGTGTGTATGTACGTACCTCAAGTTGCCTGACTAATTCTTTGGCAGTTGGTGCGGACACGATAATGCGACGTGCCATCGGCGAGATGAACCCTTCATCCATAGCTTTATCGATGAAACTCAATAATGAATTATAGTATCCATCCACGTTCAACAACCCCACCTATCACGTTCAGCAATGAAGATCCGATAAACCCATTCGTGAATAATAAGTTGTGAATCAAATATATAAATCAATTGGCACTAAGCAACATTCCGACGCATTCAAATCGAACAATTCAATCAAAAACATGCACATCTTTTGGTGTGTTAAGTTACAATCTTTTGTCCATGCGAACTAATTGAGAAGGCGCAAGACACGTGTTTGATTCGCAAGTTGCCGCTTGCCATCACAACACCCCAATTCCGTTCCACACACACAAACGTATCTTTGATTTTATGGATTATTTCAGTATATTTGATTAATTAACTGATAATCATGTGGTGGAACATGATTAAGATATGCCGTCAAACGATCCATCACTTAATTACGCCAAATTAAGTGGGGACTTCAACGCGGCCCAACTGAGAGATCGGACAGCCGTGTACTCAAGGAAGTATTACTAATTAATTAAGTTGTTTTGGGTGGCTAATTGTTATTATATGTAACAATAATCATCATCAGAGGACAGGCAGTCAACATGACATCATGTGATCACTTTAGACCACCTAACAGAGCTTTTTAGGATCACTTATTCTATTGAACTGAATTCGCATCAGCAAGGCAGCGAGAAAAATTGGGATGACTATGTGAAAAGAAAGCAGCAATTAATGAAAAAGGGGAGAGCTTACGGGTTTGCGATGGATGCCAAGCTGAGCCCACGTAATGACCTCAAGCAGTTCCTCCAGGGTTCCGTAGCCTCCTACAGATCCATTGATCATGGTAATTATATAAATAGATTGTCGGTTTTTCAGGTGACATGATCAGTCAATAAAATAAATTTAATAATAATAATAATCAATGATGATGTAAAGTAAATAGAGAGAGGGATGGGGCACCTGGCAAGGCGATGAAGGCGTCGGCTTGGCGTGCCATTTCGGCTTTCCTTTGGTGCATATCTGATACAGCTCTAACCTCTCCAACCGACTGCCCCGTTATCTGCAACCCAAAACCCAATTTTTTCATTAAAATAACAACTCCTCTAATTTATGATTAATTAATTTCCGTGTGTGTGTTGGTGCTTTCGCAAGACAAGACATGTTACGTTACTCTCCCGCCACTATGCAACTCAGGCACTTGCTTGCTTATCAGTACGAATGAGTAGGGGTGGGCACGTGGGTGGTTAATCCAAGGATTGATATCGATTCACCCGTAAATAATCCGATCCGCACATAGTGGGTGATTGATGTGGGTGAATTGCGGATTAGTAAATCTCTCATCCGCACTGATGTGGGTGGGTGGTGGGTGGATTGCGGGTCACCCATATCACCCGGCCCGCATCCTATTTTTACATGAAAAAATGTTGTTTGATATAGTATCGAATATTCATAATATTTTCAAACTGCACTACAGTCTGACCATATACTTCAAAAGGTGGAGAATAAATAATAGTTTTTACTACTATTATTGGTTATTGTGTTGTGCAATATTCATTAGATATTGGATATTGGTATGCAAATTATTGTTAATAACCATTAAATATTTGGATGCAAACTATAAATTATTAATTGTATCAAAAATCACAAATTATTGATGCAGTCTCCTAATTTGCTATGAAATTATTATAAATGTTAGTCAACTTTCTTAATGGCTAAATGGAGAATTGGTTTTGTGGGTTGATCCGCACCCAACCGCCACCCACCCAACCCAACCCGCAGAAGTATGTGGGTGGATTGCCTGTCACATTTATTCCAACCCGCTAGTAAGCGGGTGGGTCAATTAGAGACCAAAACCCATCCAACCCGCCCGTTGCTCACCCCTACGAATGAGTGTCCATGCAACTGAAGGAAAGCTAACGTTACTCTCCAATTCAATTCAATGTACTCCCCACGATAAAGGGCTTTTGCACATATTAAGATAGCAGCTAACGTACGTAACCTAGAAAAAGATGTATGTATCTTGGAGAAATGTCATCTTCTTCATTGTTAACAAACCAATAGTTATTCATGTAATAACCTTAACCCAATATTGAAGATGCTATGTACCTCTATCGGCATTAGGGTCCTCGGAATAACTCTGCACAGAAAAGGAAGAAGAAAAAATAAAACAGCCAAAAGATTAGGGGATGCAATTGGCAAGCTTGGGGGGAACAAAGTGAGCAGGTTGCATTTATTATTAAGAGTTTTTATTTTTTTTATTACGAGTTGAGGGCAATGAATATGATTAATATATGAGAGCATGCATCAAGCGAGGCTTTTTCAGATTCTGGAAAAAAAAAGGCATGTGGGATTGGGTTGACATGTGTATATTAAATAATACTTCCAAAAAAAAAGGGCCTCCTTTTCTGTATATATTTGGTTGACAATGCCAAAAAGTTTATTTTGCCTTTTACATGATTCTACAGTAGAGTACCAGTCGTCCTTGAATTCGTGTAAACCAGCCATGCCATGTGTTCATTGCCAACATGAAAAAAAGGACATAGACCCTTCTTGCCTTTGTTCTAAAAGGAGCAAGACTTTTCAAGACACGAATGGGGAAAGTACCAAAGAAATCCAAAAGAGAATGAACGTAGCCACAAGACAAGACCATTTTAAAAAACACAGATAGATAGATAGATAGATAGATAGATGATTGGGGCCTGCAGAGGGAGGGGCATTTGATCCCATGATGTCTGGTCTGGTTCCCCTTCCTATTCCTTGCTCAGTTGGAGCATGCACGTTTCTGTGTAAATTTTGGGGGACTCCAACAAGAAACGTAACCCTCCCTTCATAGGGAAAAGCTATGATGCTTTGCATTGTAGAAATGATATGATATGAAATGAAATGTTCCTATTTGGAAGCAACAAAAATGTTAAACAAATGGTTCCAGTTGAAGCCCACTCCCAACTCACTGTGACAAGGGATGGGTTAAAATGATGGCCTGGTCTGCTCCTTGGGACAGACAGTAATTATATTTCTTTATCATTATATTTGTTTGTCATTCTCATTCTCATTCTCATTCTCAAGAGGTAGAGAGAGAGAGAGAGAGAGGGAACTGACCCTAGAACATGGCGCCCACCATCATGAACAGCCTGAGAAACAAGGCCCATCAGTCCCACGCTTCCACCTCCATACACCAAATCAATCCTTCTCTCCACCTTCATCCAAACCAACCAAACATTACTCCACACCCAAGCTTAATATTACACAATTACCAAAATAATGATCGATATGATGATAGTAATAATAAAAAAAGAAGAGATACATAGATCAAATAAATTCCATATTAGTAGTAAACTAGAAACCCACACCATTACCACGTGTACAAGGCACTAACCCAATCATCAAAACCAACCAACAAATTAGGCCGAAATCGAGCCACTAAAAAATTATTGAAATTGGGTAAGAAGACTAAGGCCGAAAACCAAACCCATTAGTTTGAGAAAGGGCATAAACTTAATAACCCCCGTCTCCCACGCCTAGAGAGAAGAACCCATCATGGGATGGAAGGGCAGCACGTCTGGTTCCCTACACTAGAGCCAGGGCAGTGGCACCAAAAATGACACTGCTCTGCTCTCGTATTCATTCATTCGTATGTAATAATAATAATTAAATTAACAATACATACTTATTTTGGTTAATTAATATCAAATTAATTATGTTTCTTCTAAAGCGTGGATCTAATCTGATCGATCCATCCATCACGAAAAGTTATAAAACAGAGAAACGGAATTATGAGAGGAAGGAAAGGATCATGCAAGAAGGCTGCTCAACTGACAGGCCTCTTACAGCTAGCTCCTAAGCACCCTTCGTGCCTCAACTTTAGTAGAAGAAAACAAAAACACTAAATAAAAAAAATTAACAAAAACAAAAAAGGAAAGTAAAGGAAAGGAAATTCCCCGCCCGGCCTCCTCCCTCCCTATTCGCCTTACTTCGCTTCCTCCCATTACCTACCTAGGCTCGCCAATCATAAGCCCCACGTTGTTCCAGAAACCTCTGCCTCCCGCAGCTTCCTCTCATCACCACCAACAATATTGGAACGAAACTGAACACTACGCTAAAGAAAGAAAGAAAGAAAGAAAGACCCTTTTGTGACCAACAGATACGGTTACAAAAAAGGTCCGCTTAGAACTGTGTTTGCCAACGCTCTGGCCGGTCCCAAAAACGAAAATGACCCAATTTCTATTTCTACGGGCTGAAACAAAGTAGGGACTGAAGACCCACATCTCCTCTTCTCTCTTCATTGCGTCCGTATATATATATATGATCCGCAATTGCATTGCATTGCACCACAAGGATCAAACAGACCGACGCAAGAGAAGAAGGAAGAAATGGGTACCATACCAACCAAACCGTGGCTTTCAATTGAATACAATACGGCATAATAAAGACAATGGGAGTTGGGAAAGAAACAAAATAAACAAGGGATATGAAATTACCAGTTCCTGGCCTAACTCAACCGCAGCTTCCTGGTAGGTGGCTTTCTTCCCTGAGCTGCTGCCACAGAAGACGCATATCCTTTTGAACCTCGACGGCGTCGTCTTTCCTTCTACTTCCATTCTATCGCTCTCTCTCTCTCTCTCTCTCTCTCTCTCTCTCTCTCTCTCTCTCTCTCTCTTTTCTCTCTTTTCCCCTCTGCTGTCTTGTCTGTGTTTGGGATTTGGGAATGAGAGGGGAGAGATTGCCTTTGGAATATATGTATATTTATATAGGTAAGAGTTTCTTTAATTTTAATGTATTATAAAATGTAAAATAAAAAATTGGAACGGGAACGGGAAGGGGAAGGTTGAAGAAGAGGGGGAAAAGAAAGCGGCGGCGGCGCGTGGCTAGGAGGGAAGATGAACGACAAGGCGCGGCGGCCGCGGCGGAGGAGGAGGAGGGCGGCGGTGAAAGAAAAAGCATATTATGCATTATAAGATTGTAAAATCACTTTCTAATGTTATGCTAGTTCGAAAGTTGTATGTTCTGAAAATTGATAATTTGGTATAACTAGTTTATATCAATTCATGTTGATTTTAGCTAAATAAATAAAAAAAAAGTGTAAAATTATCAACACTAAATGAATTTAGACATATGTAGAAGAGATTAGAAGACAAAGACAATCTCTCAAAAATCTACATTCGTATTTAAACAAAATATAACATTTCAAACAAAAAAATTCTCATATTTAAATATAATATTTAACGCTAACATACAAATTTTTATACTTGATTCAAACAAATAATATAAACATTAATACTTGAATCTAACAAACAAAATATTCAACGGAAAAAACATCTAACAAATAACATCAATATTTAACTTTTAAATTCAAAAATCAAAGTAAAAATTTATTTTTATTAATTAAATTCAACAAAAGTGATACCTTTTATTTGAAATTCGAAGATTGATCATATCGATCATATCAAAAGAATTTCACCAATTGTAACGACCAATATGTCACCGGCATGACAACAGTTTGCGATGAGAGGAAAACTCTTTTTGTACATTGGGTGAAGATGAAAGTATTGAACTTTATTTAATGTAAATACAATATATTAGTCAAACCTTTCATTTTAAACAAAATAATAGCTATATCTTTCAAAAAACAAAATAATAGTCAAATCGTTAACTTTTCATCCGTTCAAAAGTCAGTTGACTATGACGTGGCAAAAAGTCAATTGTTTGACTGTGCCACATGGATATATATTAATTTTAATTTATTATTTTCAAAAAAATCGAAAACCCTTGTGTCTCTTCCTTTTCCCTCACTCTCCTCCAGCTCCATCCAACAAAACTACGTATCGTTGTCCCCTCCGTCAACTCAAATTCATTGACCGGCGATCATACCCATCTTCGCTCCGGCGAATCCTAATCTCGTATCCTACTGCTCAATTTCGTTCCACAATACTTGATTAGAGGAATCTCTTGAGAAAAGAAGATGACTTACACTTTGTAACACCCGACAAAACATGGCAGGATTGGCGGTGGATGTAACTATCACTGGAATGGAAATGGCTTTAGCGAGATAACAGAGAAGTTGGGAGAGAAAAGAAAGAATCAAAAGAAGAGAGAAAAGTAGGAAGTAAGGATTCTGTTATTATCATCAAGTGTCCCCCAATTAGTAGCTCTCATCTTTCTTTTTATACAGTCAACAAAGAGTACAATTGACTTACACAAGTGTCCCTATTAGTTGGATCATGAAAAATCTCCTCCCCTTGGCAAATGACTTGTCCCAAAGACGAAAATGCAGGAAAACGTTGTCGGAAGGGATGAAGATCCTCACAGGTTGCACAAGCAAGAGTTTGTTGAATCCAATGGACCAAAATCTGTGTGATAGCCTGGTTATTGCGCTGGACGAACCGACTGGCCAGAATGGCAGCTGGAGCCAACTTTGGAGTTCCCTCATCATCCACATCAGGGAATTGGGATGATTCTAGAGGCACAATGGAATGGGATAGCTTCAGCCGTGATACATGAAGCACATGATGAATCTGAGAGTCTTGTGGAAGATCCAAATGATAAGCCACCTCTCCAATAAATGCGAGCACAGTGTAAGGACCAAAATAGTGAGGACCCAACTTGGATCCATGACGCCCTACGTCAGAACCCTACTTGTAAGGTTGAAGATGGAGGTAAACCATGTCACCGAACATGAAACTGTGCTCGGAACTCCGACAATCATCAAACTATTTCTGACGCATATGTGAAATAGTAAGATTGTGGCGAAGGAGTTGAGGCGAAAACGGACATGGTAAAGAGTGATATAGCACCATTCCACCAAGGTCAACCAATCAACCCAAGCTTGTGGTCATTGAAATGTCATGCACCGTGACTCGCTCCGACTATCACAATAAAATCTCATCTAAGGTCCAATTATAAATCTTAGATGGGTGCAATATAGGCCATGTATGTTTAAATATCAACCCGGGCCGTCCCATGTACCCCTGCTTTGAACATTATCTAGCGGATTGATGTTTGTTGAAATCTCTACAATCTACGATTTGAAAGCAAGACTTTGAAAAGTAATAGGGTGGAAAACTCTTGGTGAGAAGCTTCACTAGGGTGTTGCTTCCCCGTAACTAACTACCATGAACCGTGGGATCAAATGAATCAGTGTGTGACAACAAAATTCTGACCCGTTGGAGGTGCAACAATGGTTAGAAACCATCCTCTCAATTGCTAGGCCAAGGTAAGCATTAGAGGCTACAATTGTAGCCCTCTTGGCCAAAACAATTGAGGGTTGACTTACCTTCTCCCTCAAACCAAGGCTTGGACGGCATAATCACAATCAACCTCAGTGTCTAATTCAAGTAGAGGTTTACCCTTCATTAACCTAGTTAGGAGGCACGGAATGCCTAAGAAAACCCATCTCAATTTTGAGCCTTTTAAGATAAGGGGGCTTCTCTCTAATTTAGGTTAGAATAGCACAATAGATTGTCAAGCAAACAATATGCACAATCACCATGAAAAATACCTCAATTCTTAAGTTAAACACCACCATCACACAATCATTCAATCCACACAATCAATTACATGATAGTAGTTAGGGTTCTAAAACACCCAAGTGGAAAGGGAAACTACTCCATATTGGACAAAGGAAGAACACAAAAGAGGAAGAAAGAAACCATCATTGTGATGCCTCCAACTCTCCTTGTGATTGTAGAGATCCTCCAAAGAAGAGGAACTTCCCAAAATCTTCACTTGGAGCAAACCCTAGCCTCTTCTCCCTCTTGGTTCGTGACTTTCTCTCTCTAGGGTTTCAAGAAGAAGAAGGTTTCTCTCACTTTGGGATCTCCCATCTTCTTCCTTTCAGCTCTCCATTTATGCTAAGATCGTGCCCAGTTCACGGCTGTGCACATCAGAACGCGTCCGTGAACTCAGTGAGTTGGATCAAAATGCACCGCTTCACTCCTGGGGTTCACGGTTTGTGGTTCCAGGTCACGGTCTTAGCGACCTTAAACTTCCTTTGAGTCAGTAACCTCAGAAACCCCTCCGGACGCTTCGCTATTAACGATTTGTGGTTCCAGTTGACGATACTGAAGACCATGAACACTAATGCTGGACCATGAACTCTGGCTGATCCTCCTCTTTGCCCGGTCTTTGCTCCTTTTCTTCTAACTTTCGACTCCGAGGTTGGATTGACCTTATCTTTCAACTTTCGACTCCGGGGTTGGTTTCACCTGTTAGACTTTGAAACACTCCCCCACCCTTAGACGTTTGCTTGTCCACAAGCAAACCATTTCACACAAGGTAATATCTAAACCTAACAAAATGCTTTAGGGACAAATCAAAAGGCACAAAGTGGTGAATCTCAATGGCTATTGGAAATTAACACATGGACCGTTGTAAGCAATACCGACATCTACCACAAATGACAATCAAGGTTTACAACTAACCATGCATAACATTAAAGTCCAAGGAACAAACGAATGGGCAACAAAGGTTCTCGCCGGGGTATGATATGACATGCAAAGCAAGAATAAATCACTCACTCTCTTGACAAGTGGGGTCGGTATCTTTTTGGTGAAAAGAACGTGCACAATCATCAACACTCGGCCCTATCGTCTCTTCACCACGGCGGCATCCTCTAAATGTTAGAGTTCACATGATGGTTGTCATCACTATCTTGTTTGGAGGTCTTAGACACGGGTTCAAGTGACTGGCAATTGTCTTGGACATGGGGAAAATGATTTTGGTTGGTGGCAAACACAACATGAGGTCCTACATCTTCACCCTAAACCCGAAGGTTCTATTGTTTCGCTAAGAACCTTCCCTACAAATAAAGGCCACTACCACCGGCCAGAAACCTTGCTTCTCCCTTCCAAACTATCAGGCATCATGAACTACCTTTAAGCGCTCTTCCTCGGTCTACTCTTGCTATCACATTTCGACTTGGTAGTGAAGGAGCTCAACAACAATGTGGGGGTTTCAATAGCTTGAATCCCGAGAAACCCCTCCTAGAGCATACTGTTTGATTTTTGTGGCACTCTCTACCTTATTTACGCAGTTTTATTACCTCTTTTTCGATTCTTTTTCTTTCTAATTTCCTTTTCTTTCTTTTTTTCTGTTCTTTTCTTTTTGAGGGGGGTACTAGAGAGTAAAACACTTGCCACATTACATTTATCAACCAATGCTCTCTTTTAAGAACTTACTCCAACACTACTCTTTTCTCTCTCCGGGGGTTGTCGGGGTCGTCGCGTTCGTTTTTTGGGAGTCGCCATTGATCTTACTTGGAGTGGATCGAACACTCTTCGAATCGGCTCTAACCTTAGGGTCAGAACCGAGATATGGTCTGCGGTTAAGAGATTCGGGTTCGGGAGTACGGTTACGTGTGAGGAAGTGAAATCACACCCCACAACGCCCTAAATCGGTACTACTTAAGTCGATAAATTTTATATGTGTTGGGTTTTATTTTGGTAATTATTCTGTATTTTAAAATCTCACTGGATCATTAATATATTACTTATGACTTATTTCATACGTCAATGGACGTTTAGTTCATGATTAGGTATTTTAGATATTTTTAGGGCCTTACTGGACCACTAAATAAATTAAATCGTATTAATTGTGATTTAATTATACGGCCACTAACGTAAAAATTAAAAGATAAAATTGATTGGTAAGTTGGACTCGAACCTTATAGGTTGCCTACGTACCCGTTAGACGGGATCAAAGTCCACGTAGT